TAATACCAACGGATTAACAACAAATCAACAATGAATTATTACTTTTTCATTATTAAAAATTAAATACTTAATTAACAGCAGAATTACTAACGGAAGACTTTCGTTGGTATATTTTTGTTACTAATCCGTCGGTAAAAAATTAAAAATAATAAATAATAAATTAAATAATTTGGTGACAACGTCAAAATTTGTTGGTAAACATTGTAAGTAAAATTTTAAAAGTATTATATAGTTACCATCGAAAAATTTCGTCTGAAAACTCAAAAAATTTTAATTCCCACCTAAAATTTTAGGCCTATTTGATAAGCCATATTTTCCAAATAACTAGGAAAATAAATTCCATTTTCCCACTTTTTACCACGTTTGATATGCCAAATTCCTATTTTCCCTCACGCGACCTATTTTCCCTGAAATCCTTGAAATTCATTTCCCGTCTCAGAGGTGGTAAAACATTTTCCACCAAAATCAGGAAAATCGAACCCAAAGCTTTCCCCAAAGCTTCTCTCGACACCGGACTCCGTTCTCTAGCTTTCCACCTCACGCAGCATCGATTTCTGTCGCTTTCCAGTTGAACCCAGCCAACGACCATTGTCTGCAGTTGTCTGTCACGGCGAACCCTGCGTCGCTTCCTCCGCCGTAGAAACGGGTAGGTTTCGTAGCATACTGTAATTTGTTTGGGTTTATTTTTTGGTTTCTGTTCTGCAATTTCATCATGGCTGCTTCATACACTTTGCTACTTCACCTTTTCGTTTACGGATTTAAGCCCTTCTCTGTGTTACATCTGCAATCTCGATGCCCATTTGCTGGAACTGTACATTTCGAACTGTGGGTTGTCGCCAATGATGTTTCGATTTACTTGTTATTTTTGGATTTTCTTCCATGCCCCTGTAGTTGAACTCCTTCTGAAGTTTCTTACAATAAATGGGTACTTGCTCACTTATATGTGTTGTTTAATGGCGAAATGTCAAATGTCTGCTGTCTCTGTTGCATATATTTCGATTGACATACATTTCGGTTTTCCTGAGGTTTCTGGGTAGATTGGAGTTTGAGATGTAGCTACACTGCTATATTATTTTTATTCCCTGAGGTTTATATATGTTTGAAGAACATATATGCTATCAAAAAGTTTTCTCTTTGAAAAGTTGGGAATTCTGTAAATTGGCAAATGTATATTTTGACTTGCACAGAAATTTTGTCAAATTTATGTCTTCTTTGATGAGATTATTGATTCCTACAAATAAGAAGAAACTGGCATCTCTTTGACTTGTTTCAATATCAGAGCCTGTCTGTTGTTTCTTGTGTGTGAATGTCATTACTAGTATTACATTAAGGTATGTTGTTTGAAAAAATTTCCTTTCCTATTAAGATACAATTTTTTTATCAACCTATGGAGGTAAGATGATTTGAGTTCTTGATTTTTGTATATATCATATATATTCACCGACAGCTAATATAATCCGTCGCTAATTTTACCGGCGGGGTGTTTGCCGACGGATTTATCAACGGGCGAAATCCGTCTCTGAAGCTCATTTCCAACATATTTCGGGGCTTCAGTGACAGATAATTCCGTTTCTGAAGCCGCTTTTTTTTGTAGTGCTTGTGGATATCGGGCAGAGGAAGATGTTTTTTGT